GACTTAAACGTTGATTAAAAGAGGTAAAAATTCCTAATTTTTTAGACTTAAACGTTGATTAACACCATAGATTGAGAGTCTATATTTACTAAAATTCCTAATTGTAATAAAAAAAATTAATTTTTGCTATATTTTAGAATATCTTTAAATTCATTATAAAAAAAAATGAAAAAAAAAACTACACAATTTGGCTACAAAGAAAGGAAACTCATTGATTAAAATATTATTTTGTCAGTAGTCTTAATGTACAAGAGACTTTAAGACTCCACTTGAATATTGTAAAACTTTTATTGAACATTGTACAATTTTCTTGCGTATTATAAACTCTTATTGAATATTGCATCTTATAATATAATATTCTCCTAATAAATATATCCCGTGCTTCGCACGGGTCACGTACTATATATATCCCGTACATTTTCTTTATTCATGTATATAATTATAATCCTGGATAAATAGCCTTAAAATTGTGCACCCCGTGCATCGCACGGGCTCTTTACAAGTTTACTATACAAAAAGTCAACTGCATTAAATGCCATTACTATTTTGGTATTATATTTATTTATTTAATTGATTTATTTATTTGTTTTATTTTAAAAAGGTAAGTATAATAAAAAGATTTTAATAATAAAAAAATCAAATACCAAATAAAAATGTACACTTTGACTTATTTGATTATACCAAATATATTCCTATTTAGTATATACATTAAATACTTACTAAAGTATTTATTTGTTTTATTTGTCAAAGTTAAGTATAGATTTGTTTATATTATCAAATCATAAAAAAATATTAAATCCATATTGTAAAAAAAAAATCATATAATTTTATAATAATTCTACTACACTATTTAACAACATNTATTGAACATTGTACAATTTTCTTGCGTATTATAAACTCTTATTGAATATTGCATCTTATAATATAATATTCTCCGAATAAATATATCACGTGCTTCGCACGGGTCACGTACTATATATATCTCGTATATTTTTCTTTATTCATGTATATAATTATAATCCTGGATAAATAGCCTTAAAATTGTGCACCCCGTGCATCGCACGGGCTCTGTACTAGTAGTTTTAATATTACCGTTCTGTTTTCTACAATTACCTAAACAGAGTTAGTGGTACATTTATAATAAAATGCATTACTTATATTATGACATTTGATGATATTAAAATTATGAATATTTGTTAAAATGTTATGGTTGTCTTATTATTAGGCGAGTCAAACAGTATAAATGATGTTTCGTTTTATTCTAATTTTTTTTACACAAATTGGTGGGAGACTTTTCATTCTGTCTTCATCCTCTTGTAATAAAATATATTTTTTTAATGTTTTAGGAAATTTTACTAGCATATAAAAAAAATGATTTCTCAAATTGTACATTAGTTTTATTACAGCTCATACTCATATGTTATGTTTGGTAAAATTAACTTATAAACTAGTTGATATCTGATAAATGAATTTCAAACATATATCTAATAGCTTACGACTGAAAAGTTAGTTGATCTGATATGATAATTTTTTTTAATAAAATTAGCTGATAAACCAAATGAAGTAAAAATTTCAACAAATTTATTTGAAAAGTTACCCAAGAAGTTTATAAGATCAGCTCGAGTTTTTTTTTTTTTTTTTAAAAAACTATTCATCCTACCAAACAAATCTTATTTGAACACATAAAACTTATAAGCGACCAGATGAACTATAAGTTTACTTATAGTGTTTACTAAACTCACTCATTGTATAAGATTGAGTCCATGACTTAACAAGTGATACATCAAACACCACTCTTTACTTAAATGCATGGTTATTAGAGTGTAGCACTTCCAAAAGTTAAAAGTAGCTTGAATCTTCATCAGATAAATTGCACATCAATGAACTTGCAAGTCCTTGCAAGGGTAAAAAGCAATGGAACATTGCTTCTTTTTCTTTTTTCATACACTTCGAAAAATATACAATCCCAGATCATACAAAGCCAATAGCTTCGACTGATCGAGAGACGAAACTGCGCATGGACTCATCGTAAAGTCACAATGTCCCTTCATCTTACCCCCATCAAACTTCCATTCTACAGTTTTGCGACACAAAATCGACAACTTAACGGCTATATATATATATATATATATATATGCATATTTTCTTTACCTTCATAATGTACTAGGAAGCTTTCGGTTCGGATGGTGTGTTGCATTATATGTACAACTTCACCCCTACCAAAAGCCCGGACGAAAAATAAGGTCCCGATAAATTATAAAAAAAATTGAAGGACAAACCAAATGAGCAAATCTTGATTTTCTTGTTTTTCTTCAAATTATATCGATCTCCTTAGTTGCAAATGGCCTCGACTGATACTTTCTTCATGACATTCGCACAAGGATCCCCACCAAAGATCTCGGGTGTAATAGGCACCGTGCAAGATTCTTGGTTGACACAATACTATAACAAAAGAAAGCAAATGTTAAATTGATAAGCTAGTTGATAGTTGATAAGCTACCTTAAAGCTTATAAGTGATTTTCAAGCTTATAACTTATGACTTATAGCTGAAAAACTAAAACTAGCTAGCTTATGTGATTAAAGTGTTTGGTAAATTAGCTGATAGGTTAGCTGAAATAAAAATTTCAACGAGCTTATTTGAAAAGATACCCAAAAAAACTCCTACCAAACGGAACTTATTTAAATACGGGAAGCTTATAAGCTAACAAAATAAGCAATAAGCTAACTTATTTGATTACCAAATATAGGCCTAGCCTAATAAAAAACATGAGGTAATTAAATTTTTTACCCTATCGAAAACATCGTAAGAATGAAACGCATGGCAACTCCCCTCTGAGAAATTACCGCAGTACCCCTGAGGGGTACCGAAGCTAGCAAACTTGATGGACGTGATCTTTTGTCCGGGGGCGCACGAGAGGTGGGCTTTGGGCCTCAGTGGCCTCTCGACTTTTCCCGATGCCTGCATTTGCCAATTCATCAAATTCGGCTGCCATTCGTAAATATCGGCACACACGCTCGAAACTTCCCTTTTGACCAAATTGACCCCGTAAGGATCTCCTCCCCATTCTTCGAACACGACAAGAAGATTCCCGGTTGGGTAAAGCCATGATCGAGGAACATGGTACCTGAAAAAAAATAAAAATAATAAAAAAAAAAAAGTAAAAATCCATGTCATTTTGTATCTTTGGGTTAATTATATTAACTAGACCGTAAATTCACCAAATTAATTTACCATCTTTGGGAAGCTTCACCACAACTGGTTAGGCATTTTTTCTCGTTAAACGAGCCAGCGTAATTGCAGGGCTCACAGTCACCAAATGCCTTGTACTGATTCCAATACCGACCAATGCTTTGACCGTTTATCCAAATTTGGCCTTTGCTCATTGTGTTCATGTCTAAAGCCAACGGCTCATTTCCATCCGCAGCATTAAAAGTGGTCTGTGAAATAAAGGATTAAAAAATATATATATATATATATATATCAAACGACTAAGCATTTAGTCGAACCTTATAACAAAAAATGGCATGATATAACCAAAATTGATAACAAGGATAATAAAGTTCTTTTTTTTTTAGGTGAAAATGGTTTTTTTTGCTTTTGTTTTTTAACATGTTGAAGCAAACAGAAACCTTTTTATGATAAATTCACAAAAATTAAAAAAAATGAAAAATCTTACGATAAAAGTTAAAACGCGCAATGTAGCAGCATAAATTTAGTTTCTTTTACTCGATCAGGTAAATATGTGAAAATCAAAGGTTAGTTTTTGAGATTTGGAGTGCATGGCGGATAATTACCCTGTCTTACGATAAAAAAAATCCTCAACAAAACGAATAATCATAGTTAAAATTATAGGACAAAGCAAAATGTACTTACTTTGTACCAAGTTAACGGTTGTCTTTCACTGACATACGATCCCTCGACCCATTCAACAGAAGTGCTTCCAGTAAGTGAGTGAATGCTCATAGACTCTCCTTTTAGACCGACCTATCAAGAAATATTCAGAGTCCAATAAAAACAAAAGTAATGTAAGGACAAACAAAAGACTATTAATTAAACTCTTATGAAAACATGAAAATGAACGAACCTTATAAGACCACTTTTGCCACGTCAAATCTCTTTTTCCTTCATTAAGACCACTGAGAGAAACGGGACCAAGAACGCCAACATTCCTCGTCTCAAAATGAGGACCCACATTCTGCGTAAAAAGAAAAAAATATCATATATTAAACAAGAATAATTACAAAGACTGCCTTAATCTTTACTTTAATTACAAATGAACCCAAACATGTTCGATATTGCAAATACACCCTAAAGCGAGTGAGCGTAAATTGCAAATATGGAAAGAGGACAAACCGAAAGACCAACGGCAATGCTGAGGAGAGAAATTTGGTTCACTCCAGCATTCAGATTCACGCCTTCACTGAAAGTAAATCTGGGATTTTCGAGACTTCCATAAGAAGTTCCTGTGGGTAATTAAGCAAAAGAATAAAGATAAGTGAATTAAAACATGCTATAACTGAAAAATGTCCAGTATAGTATAAATTTATATCTCATTTGATATTCGTATCTGCTTAGAAAACCAGAAATTTTATATCAAGTGGATATTTTAATAGACAATCCAACAAAAACCACAATAAACCTCGATTAGTATTTGTAATTATTAAACTCTACCAATGTTATTTATTATGTCATGGAAATTATTTTAATGTCTATATAAGAACACGCTATACAGTATTATTCTCACTAACCTGATAACTGTCCGTTGATAAATACATGCAATGCATGGCCAGCAGAAAGCACAGTAAGAACGGGCCACTCGCCGCCACTTAAAAATCCTTCATTCGAGTCAATTATCACTCTGGACAATAGACACAAAAATATAAAAACGTGGTCTAATTTTCGCTCGAGTGAATTGTCTTTGTTGGAATGTGAGACATTATTATGGTCACTAAAACAAAAAGTTTAACAAGTGTACTTACTCTGTTGTGTACCATAAATAGTCTGTCTTGTCTCGAGTGGTATTTATCTGCTCCAATAATCCAACCATTGTAAATGAATTATCTTCGTGTGAAGCAGCTTCCTCATTGTAAGACTGCCAATCGAATCCTTGCCTCACAGGGGTCATCTTCATTTGAGCACTTTGAGCTCCAATCTTTTTTTTTTTTTTTTTTTTTTNACAAGAAAATTCAGGAGGACGTTAATATATTTTATGCCATAAATAAGGGGGGAAAATAATATAGACCCCTTCAACTTAGTTTCTCTTTTAGCACATTGCATCATCAGAGGACAAAAATCGTGTATACGTAATTTGGGAAGATACTTGAATTCTCAGTAAATAGTGTTAAGGGTGTGTTTGTATATCAATTATTTCAATTCGTACTCAATTCATACTTAAAATATAACTCAACTTTAACTCAACTCCACTGTTTTCAATATTATCAATATAACTAAATAATATCAACCAATCATTCTTACATAACACATCAACTTTATTTCACTATTCATCCACTCAGATAATTTTAACTAACCCTCACTTTACATCATCTCTCATACTTTTACATCAAATCAGCGTTAATTATTTTATTTTAAATATTATTTTAATATAAACTCAAAATCCCACTAACAACTAATCATACCACTTTTTTCAAAATTAACTCTGGTTAGCCAAAAAAAAAACCTCGTTTTGAGCGGATATATTTGTATCCAAACACGCCCTAAGTAAATTGTAACGGAAGATCACAAGTTACTTTCTTACCCTTGCTGTGTTGTAGACAGTGTTTTTGCAGTCAGGGAGGATACTGATAGACCAAGGGGGCAAATTGTAATGTTGTCCACGAAAAGCCACTTTTGCAAATGAATATTGATTGTAATTTGCAAGGAAAGCAGCACAACCGGTCTTCGATTTGAAAACATGAGCCTGCATGCATGGTAAGAATTAATGAAGATGTTGTTAAATATTAAAGTTTTCATTTTTGCACAAAAAGGAGATAAAAAGAATAAGAGAATAGTAACAAAAAAAAAGTACAACCTCCTGATAGTGTCCGAGTCGTGTTACAACAGGGTTTGCAGATACTAAAGCAGGCTCGCAGAGTTTAATTGCTCGGTGCAAATCTTTCAGGTGTCNAATGCAAGCAAGATGTTAATGTTTTCAACAGAAGAGCTTTGTACTATCTTATGTTTAAAGATAATAAACACGAAATGCTCCTGTTTTGACATAAATTATGGCTCAAATTGAAAATTTTGTTAGTTTATTACCATACTCATCAAGAGGTGCATCATAGTCATAGCTAGTCGCGATAAACGGACCACCAGCCGTCCGGCCAAAGTTTGTTCCTCCATGGTACTGAAATATTTAAAAAAAAAATCATGTTTAGCTAATTCATAACCATATATAGTCGATCAAAAAATACCTAAAAAAAGGGTCATCTTTACCATATAGTAGTTAATGTAAGAACCTCCTTTCTGAATAAATTTAGCAACAGAAAACGCCAAATCTTCGGCCGGACGGTAAGGGACTGGACTACCAAATTCAGTATACCTAAAAAAATAACATCAATGTAAAAAAAAAAAAAAAATGTTTTCTCAAGAGTGAATATTATTAACATTCATCAAAAGCTGAATATTTACCAGCCGGTCCACGCTTCAGTCCACATCTTGGGTTTATAAACTTTATTGGGAGAAAAGTAATCACAATAGAAACCATTGCAGGTATTAATCTGCAAAACAAAGAACACAAAATGACTCAAACATCAAATTAAATGATGACATACCAAATTCACATTTATGAATATTCAAATTAACAGCTAGATGGAGTTAAGACTATGGAATAGAATTAGACATTTTGTCCCCAAAGCCATGTGCAAGCAAAATGACAAGATCTTTAATATAGTTTTAATCACCACATATATCAAATAAATTAAAAAATAAAACAAAATAATACTTACAATTGGATCAGGGGCATCATCTTGCTTGCACATGACCCACGGTACACCAGTGCCAAGATCGACAGCCATTTTTGCAGCCCATTTCGTGTAAGCTCGGCCAGGTGCACCGAGCTCATATTCCATTGGCCCATATTCATTCTCAATCTACCACAATAAAACAAAATGTATTAAATTTTGTTTATTTACCATCTTTTACACATGAAAGTGAAGGAAAAGAAAAATGATACCTGAGATAGTATGATTGGGCCACCTTGAGTTTCATATAATCTTTCAGCTTTCATCATATTCACAATCTTGGTTGTGAATGTTTGCATAGCATCCTTTTTTTGCAGCAAAAACAATAGACCAATTAGTTTCATGAAATAAGGATGTATTTAAATTCATGATATGTATAAGAAATGTAAATTCATATGCCATACAAATATAGAACTTTTTTTACCTTAAAAGGCTTGTTATCCGTCCTGAAACTTATACCTGGAACATACTTCAGCCAAACTGGAAAACCCCTGCAGCCGAAAATAACAGATTTATACTGATTTATCTCAAATTGTCTCCACTAAATGTGCTCTATACAGAATTATTCTTTGCATTCTCATTTGTATTATTACCCAAAATTCCATTCAGCACAAGCATAGGGACCAATTCTGAGATGGACATAAAGCCCTGCTTGCTGAACCAGCTTAACAAACTTCACCAAATCATACCTTTCCTCAAAATAATACTGTAAAATGACAGAAGGGATTAAATATAACTGCAATCACTAGGCAAACAAAATAAGAACTAGTCACAAGAAAATTATAGTTCACAAAAGAAATATTTCATAAAGATAGAAACACACGCACAGACACACACATACAACTAACCTTCCCAGATTCAGGCTCATGCCCATTCCAAAAAACGTAAGTCTGAATCACATCAACACCACCTTCCTTGGCCTTCTGAATAAGATCTGGCCACATCTGAAAAACCCAGAAAAAAAAATTATATATATATATATATATATATTATATATATATATATATATATATATATATATATATATA